GGGGTACCTTTTGATGGTCTGGCATCCCATTCTGGGGAGAAACAATACTCTTGCTCACTTTACACAAATTTACTAAAGAAACCTTGATGTGCTCTAGTGCTTTGAGCCACTTAGCTTCTATTAGTGCAGACTCTTCTTCACCTTACATGTGGGTAGCATTTTTGGCATTCATTAGTAGATGCAATGTGTATTATGCTGCATTGTTGGCGTGGTTTTTCAGTTTTTGGAGTGAACACATAGCACAAAATTAGCATGCGCAAAAAGTGTCCATACTTTCAATAAAGAGGAGAACATACCTCGCGCCTTTGATCAGAAATCAATCGTCTGACATGTGATTTCATTTCAGGATATTGGAAAAAAACCACAAGACATGACTGAAAATAACAAACAAATTTAGATATAATGATCAGATGTTGCACCAGTGTAAATGATGTGACAGTCATAGTGGTATGTAGCAAGTCAGATTACTGAGATTTGATCTTTGCAGATCAAACACATAATTATATACTATTAACCTGCACACCCAGTCATTTATGGCATATAGCCCACAATTAGACATGTGGTACATGTATGTTACAACAAATGAAGTAAAAACAGTTCTAAAATGCTTGGACCAGCAAGATGTCTTGAAATGAGATCAACTACTTTTACAGAGTATTTGCTTGTCAAGCCTCTTTTGCCAAGTGTAAGCCCTTCCACACATTCAAAAGGTCATTTGAATAACATTTGTCATTTTCTATAAGCTTGAAATCACTAACAGTGATAAAATTTCCAATAATAACCCACCATCCCCTTTCTCACTCCTGTCAACATACTACGTGTACAGGTGAACACTGTGTAGTAGGAAGTGTTTGGTTGGATAACCCACTAAATCTTTTATTTACCTCATCATATGGCTTTCGTCTTGATCCAAGTGTAAGTGGAACAACACTCATAGAGGCATCACTTGATATATTCCTATCTCTGTATTGTTCTGGTGTTGGTATAAGAGTTTCAATATTTGTTGCATCCTCCTATAGAGGAAAGATAAAACTTTTAACTCTCCAAACTGATGATACTAGCTATTATTTTACTTCTTATCGATTAATGATTTTTTTGAAATTTTTCTCTTAAATATGAATCCACAAAAAAAAAAACAAAAGGATCTGGCTCAACATTAGAGGGACATTGTGATTTACAGTGTAATGTCCAAAATCTTCACTGTCGACAGGAATGACTAATTTGGTAAAACACTATAAGTGTACATTGCCTGGTAACCATGACTTTAAAGGGAATTAAAAAAAGATGCATTTTGTAAAATAAATTAGAAGTTTCCCCAATCTTATTGTTGCTGTTATTTTATTATTACCTCTGGAATTAAGCCCCAAGTTGTTTCTCCTGCAGCTGGTGTGAAGTCATGAATGTTGCTCCAGTTGTTATTGTATAAACTTAGTTTTGCTGCCTCAAACTGGCCTGAAAATTTTTGATATTGTATCAGTTGCTATGCTGAAGTCATTCAACTACATGCAGCATGTTCCAGACATTAATTTACATGTTGTATACAGCTGCATCACATATCGCAATGGTGAGGATCAAAAGGAAAGAGGAAATGGGGGTTGGATGGAAGTCCTGGTAATAATTAATAACTCTCTTTCCATGGACCTGAGCCCTTCTGAGCAGGTTAAGTCTGATGATGGAGTTGGAGTTGACAGATAATGGTGTTGAAGTTGGAGGTGTAAAATGCAGTGATAATGTTTCCATTTTCACTTTATTCCACTTGAATCTAGAGATTGTGATCAAAACTATATGATTGGCAAGCAAAAGTGAAAGAACCAACCCATCACAAAGCCAATTCCCAGGTCCTCCCACTTGCTTATGACGACCAACAATCTAGTGTTAGCAAAATTGTAAGTGACAAAGTTATAAGGGCATTGGTGTGCTGATGGCATTTTAATCCCTTCAGGGGTAAACAAGGGTTTTTCTTTGTCAGAAAAAGAAGTTTTTCTCACAGACCTTCTAACTCAGGATAATAATACTGATAACAGCCAAACTTCATTCCTTTTGAGGATTCTATCACAGGTTGTGTACCACAACATAAAAAGAAGTCCATTTTCTTGCAATCTCGAGTTCTAAAGTATAAAACATGTGTCAAATTTTAATTCCTATAAAATAACCAGTGCATTAAAACATTCAATTAAATTAGATTAATTTTTAGACTTACCGAAACTGTTGACAAGCCACCAAAACCTTACAGTCTTGACAATCTCGAAAATATACACTAAAAATAAAAAAAAACCAGTTAAATTAAGTAAATTAAATATTAAATGATCAATGTAGCATTAACACATAACATCATGTACATGGAAGTTTATTAAATCTAGCTGCACACACTTTTTTTTTCAAATTCACTTTAACCTTAAATAACGAGATCAAAAGGAAAACAAAAATTAAATTGAAATCATTGATGGCAACTTTTGCCTATTTTTCTGAAAATGCCTCCTTTTAGAAAGTGGTAAACAAATGTCATAGTTAATCCTGCTTTAACTACAAAGAGTAACCAAGATTATCCTGACCTCCCAGCACATGGCCCAATCACGATCTGGCAATTTATACAGTCATCAATTGTTATGGTTTCTGCGTGATCCAAAACAAAAATCCTACAATCCTGCAAACACAAATCATTTTCAGAGTTGTGATGCATTAAAACAAATTAAATGCTTTCTAGATAAATGGCTTGTACCCATTTATATCACCGCTCACTCTGAGGCACTGCAAAAGTTTTGTGCTTTGACAAGAACTCAACTCAAAAACCGCGCAGTCTACTCCACTAACAATTGGATCATTACTTGTCTAGTATCTCCCCAGGGTAGGTACCTCACCCTCCCCAATTGTAATACATGTAAGTTTTCTCTCTACCCAACCCTTCACCTCCATAATAATCACTCAGTGCAAACAGACACCGACACTATACTACATGTACATCCATGAAAGTATTTTGTTACAAATCTTTACGAGTTTAAAATCTTTCCAAATGGTTTGATTTTTCTTTTTCTTCGAATTTTATCATATTAATGGATCTGAGAACAATTTTGATGAAAAAATGAACAAATACACTTGATCTTTGGTCGACTAGTATTAATTTCATTTTTTGTTCAAGAGATCGAAGCCCTCGAACGGGTAGACTGTAAAGTGCAGAAGATTCGACCAAAGAAATCTTATTTGACACCCATCTTGCAAGCTCGTCATTCTAATTAAGCTTCAGTTCCTGGCAGGTGAACTCCGTTATCAACCTTACCTTGTTGTTTTGAATTATGAACTGCTGTCCGTTTATTTCGCCAGGCATTTTCGCGGCAAGTTCGCCTGTCAGATCACCGATGGTGTAATCCTTGGGATCTAAGCGGGGACCTTTTTCCCTATACAAGCAAAGAATTAAAAAAGAAAAAGACATTAAATTCAAATATTGGTAATAAAAATGGAAAGTTATTGAAGTGACATCAAAGGGCTACGATTCTTCGATAGCAATGTCATCCCTTCCTTCTAGAGAATAAAACTTGCCAACTGAACGTCGGTTTTTCGTTGGTTTCTTCATTTGTGTTACTCTCCTCCTTCGAACCTAAGCAACCCATGTTATTCCCTGTATTCTTAGCCCTCCAAGCCGCTCTAATTAGGCTGCAGCATTCGATAGAAGAAGTATCTGAACAGGCATACAATAAAAGTTAGGCTGAAATGACTTTGGAACCTGGCAAGGAAGGCGTTACCAAGGGTACTCGCGACGCCACTCGCATGGCACGCGTGTTTTCACGCGCTATCATTCGTTCCTCGAATTTCAATTTTTCGTTGTTTCTTGTTGTTTTTATTTCCCCGTGTCTTTTATAAGAAAGAGTAACTCTGCTGCGTGAGATTGAGTATTAATAGAGTAGTAATTGTCATATTTCTTGTAAATAAAATTGTTCGGCTCTTTGTGGCTAGTGACCAGGGCAGGTTGAATTTGCAAATGGATTTGCGGAAGAAGAAATTTTTCAACCATAAATAATAATAATAAATAATAATAACTTTATTTAAGTGTCAGTGTATTTTAGCACTGTTGTGCTAATTGGGGACACTGTAAAATAAGGAAACAAATATCGTAAATGAACAGAAACTCGTTAAAAACCCCAACTGGTAGGAGGCAGACCAGTTGGCTATTTACAAAGCGTGCAGGAGTTGAATTCGGGGCCACCGAAGACAAATCCAACCAGTGGCAGGGAGGAGGACTTGAACCCAGGACCTCCGGCTTACAAGTGCAGCGCCCTAACCACTAGGCCACGCTCGCCTCCAACCATCGATAAATCGAGCATTTAAAATTTTACACTAGCAGGAGACATCACATGTCTCAGGAAACTTAAGTAATGACTTAGTTTGGTCTTTGCTTGGTCGTCAAATTCATTTGGGAGAAACACTCCTTACTTGAGCAGCACTAGGCCCAAGTTTTTGATTGTTAGTAAAAGTAGCATATTATGCTACTGGCATTTCTCGATTTTTTCCAGATTATGCTTGCAAGTTTGCATTATGTTTTTGTTTATAACATCGCTCATTTATCCAAAGTCTTGATCTTCATTTCGAGTTCAGTTTTTGCTTAACTGAGTTTAAACGGTTCTGATGGAGCCTGAAAACGAGGTTGGCTCTGATGCTTCAGTTTTAACACAAACAACCAGTACGCAACCTGAATGGACATTCGTTGCTCCAATTTTGACGTAATTTATCTATCGCAAAAGAAGAGAACTTTGGTACGACCTGTTTAGTGTAAAGTCCATATGACGGCAATGTTCACGGCTGTTCTGTAGCGTGCAAAAAGAGATCTTTAAGACCAGGAGCTAACATCATTTCACAGTAATAATTAGATGTTTCATCCAGTATTCTGTTCGTTGGGATCTACGCTGCGTGCATAGTCATTCGGTAAAATTACCTACCATACATTCTTAGTACCTCATATTCGATCCCACTAAGAAATATTTGGTAGAGAGTGAGATTATGAAATAAAATGTACACCTTTTGAGTATCTCGTTACGTTAAAAACGTAAAAACGTTTGAACAATCTGCCCACTGAAAAACGTCACAATAAACTGAACCAGAGACGTGAGTCAGCAGTAAGGTCTCTTCATATGCATTTAAAAATTCCCTAAGTTTAATTAAATATGTCACAATAAACTGAACCAGAGACGTGCCTCAGTAGTAAGGTCTCTTCATATGCATTTAAAAATTCCCTAAGTTTAATTTTTTCTATGCCTTCTTTATAATTCGTCAGAATGGTCCTTCTCCTTCCTTTTCCGGAGCGAAATATCAGTGAGTCATCAAGCGGAGTTCTTTGACATCTGCATCCTGTTTTTCTACTCAATACCAGAAGCAAAAGAGGACAAGCAGGTCAAAGGTTCCGGAGATTATCATTTTTTTCCAATAGTAAAACCACTCCCTTTGTGTCCCAGATAATCATATATTTCGTAATTCTAAATGTTGTTTTGACGTCAGCTCATGTAGATCTTTGATCGCACAATGTCTTTTTCTTTAAAGCATTCTGAGTAAATTAGTTTTGCCAAGTAGAGATGAAAGCCAACAATTAGAAAAGCTATCGTAACCCAGAACTTTGCCGGGAGCCCTGCGCGGCGATGGACATGATGATTCTTGAGCGATTCTAGAAAAAATTGAAACATATTCAATTAAACAAAATGTAACGACAATGAACTATGCACCCCTGGGGAAACAAATATTGTACATCTTTGGGAATACATCTCACCAGACGGTTTTCAACAGCATACTCCATTGATATTTCCCGTAACTAGAACGTGCTTAATTTTCAATTTGTAAATTAAGGAGAACCCTTAGGCTTAAACGGTTTCATTGAAAGTAGTTTAACTTCTTATTATCATGATGGAGTAATTTGGATTGGCTGTTGAAAGTAAGGTGGTGTCACAACGATCAGATACACCAAACCAAAACCGACTGAGATTTGGTAATCTGAATTTTTCCCAGCTTGAAGTCATTCAAGTACTTTTTTTCTTCAATTCTCATTGACTCTTTTTGATATTATAAAGATTTATTATTTCTAATACGCCTTCACTCGGTCTATTCCGTCTTAGATCTAAATAAGGACTGTTTTTTTTCACATGTCCATCCATGCAGGTAACAGTAATGTTCTACAAAGTTGCTCTTACCTTCATGTGCATCTTTAATAAAAACGTGTTTTCTAAGCTCCAATAGCTCAGACTTGTTATGAGATATGTACAGCAGCGGTGTGACAGGTCTGGTCATACGAACTGGGAAAGTCACTTCGGCCTCACTGAAATTAAAGACATGACATTTGTTCTGGTCTAGAAAAGACGACAAGCATATTTTTTGCTGATATTTGATTATTCATTAATTAAAAGGGATTCTAAAAAACCGAAAAAGGAAGAGTTCTATATCAAATTTGGAATTCTAAAACTAGTTTTTCAAAGATAGGTTTCATTCGATATGCCATTTTAGAAATACAAACTTGTCACTGTAAAAAGAGCGATCCTTCAACTTTTTTCCTGGTCAGTTTATATCCACCACCACAAGTTTCTAGGATCAACTCATATTTTGAATTCAATTACGTTGTCTATCACAAACTCAAAATGCCAAATAGTCTAAGGCCACGCGACATTCTCACAATCATTTTTTGCTAGAACAATTTCGTGACACATCAAGCAGGCTTTACTACTCACCCGACTTCCACAGGGTCATACTGGCAGCCTGCTTCGCATGCGTAAAGAGGCGTCTTGCCTCCCTTAACGGGTTTAACCAGAAGCTTTTCTGCATGTCCAGTTTCAGCATTCACCAACACGGTGAGATAAATGTCCATATCTTCATACAGGTGGATATGACGGAACACGATTGTTGTATGTAGTGAGGCGGGATTTGCCGCGAATTCAAAATGTCCGGCGGAGAACTGCAGGCCTCCAAAACTGAGCGTGATGGCTTGGTTGATACCAACGGCACCTCAAAAAGGATACAGAAAATAACAAATAAATTATTACAAAGAAGTACAAGTGGTCAAGAGAGCACTTTGAGTACTTTGAGTACTTAACATTCAGCACTTGTTCCTAGCATGGAATACGCCAGGAACTGTAACCAAGGCTGTCACGATAACCTCGGCCAAGTGACCTACGTTATTGCTGTTTTCCCAGCATTTCTAATCCTTCTGTATGTGGTTTAAAGCCCATTGCACGCCTCCCCTCTCCTCCCACGGGAAAGAACAGAAAAAGCCCCCTATGAATTAACCGAGTTCCCATGACAGTCCTACAGTATTGATCACTTTTCGATAATGTCCTTTGGGATCGAAAGGCGAGGAAGAGCGAAAAATAAGGACAAACACATTGCCAACGAAAAAGATAAAAATCTTCACCCAATACCTGCTTTTACAAGTGCACTGCATCCATTCTGCTCCAACAGTCTCTGCCACAAGGCCGCTATTTTAGTAACACCTGACTCGGTCCGGGGCATGGGCCAAAGTGAAGCCGAGTGCCTGTGAAGACAAGGAAGAAACAATAACTGATATGAAAACTAACACGGTAGTTACATGTAGTCCTGTGTGTATCTCTCGTCTAAAGTGCACTCTAGTCACGCACTGTCACGAGCACACTTACATCGTGGGTGGGCCACCAAAGCAGTGATCTGGAATATGAAGAAGTTTTTCCATTTCATCCTTGTGTGCCTGAGGGTTTGATGCTCCATTGACACGGGAAGGAAAAGACGACAAGACATAGTACATTGTAGTGTTGACTTCCAAACCAGAGGGTGTGTCAGGATCATGTCGAGGATCCACAAACAAACCTGTCTCAGTCAACTAGTGAATCAAAACAACATGGTACTGTTGGTTTAGTTTTTACCCCTTTACACCCTAACATCAGTATACATATTCTCCAAACTATTCTCTATACACTTCCTACGGTGCTGACAAGGAGAATTTGCTAGCAATCCAGAGCTCCTTTTGTTGATATTCATTTCCTTTACTCTCATGATCCTAATGTTTGATTCAGGGGTAACATTGCAAGGAAAAACCAGAGAGTAAAAGGACTGAGGAGGAGGTTTCCCGTACTTGGGACAAAAAAACTTACATGATCAGATGATCATCAGCCTCGACCCCGCGTTTCATTTTATCTTATCATATGAATAAAGCGTAAATTAAAACATGAATCGATCTTTTTCAAAGAATATAATTTCTTGAGAAGTAAGATAAATGACAAATTCAGTTACAACGCAAAATAAGTTATGTTTTGGAGAAGATGATATGTGCATTATTTCTGACCAAAAACGGTAGAAATTGATGAGATAGTTCTTTACCTCTTTCCAGGCTGTGCTGTGAGATTCTCTCAATGATTCTGGACTGTCTAAGGAGACAAGAGCTCGGAGTTCCTGTAGCGTGAAAAAAACTGAAATGAATAAATTGGAAATTCACAAAAAATTCCTTTAGTTTTCACTGATTCCTTTGATTAGTTTTCAAAACAATCCTTACACCACATTACGTTCAGAGAGACCTTGCTTACCCACAAAGCAAGGTACTTCTAAACTTGTAAATAAACAGGAGTTACCGAATACATGTTAGAGACACGGGCGCGTAAAGCTAATTAAAAATGATTGTTAGTAAGAAGCTTGAGCATAAAAAACCCCCAGCGTTGCCATCTCTTAGTCCTGTGTTTGATTTCGTTACCTTTTCTGCGTCCTCCTGGAG